TGTCCTCTTAGTTTTCTTTTGTTTTAGGTGTAGTTGTTAATAACTGTGAGTTTGCTGTCCTTTCGCTGTTCATCTTTTTGATCTTCTTTTTCTTAGATAAGTCCCTTTAACATTTCATATAGTAAGGGCTTGGTGATGATGAACTCCTTGAATTTGACCTTATCTGAGAAGCACTTTATCTGCCCTTCCATTCTAAATGAAAGCTTTGCTGGATAGAGCAATCTTGGATGTAGGAGTTTCTTGGGGGCCCTTGACTGAAGGTGCATCATCCTGCCTGCCCTGAGGGTGGAGGTGAGGCGCAGTCCCCTGGTCTAGGACCCAGCAGCTCTGTCAGCCTGGTGAATGTTGCCTTTGTTTCACAGGAAGTGGCCCTGGAGTTGGTGGAGACCCCCTAACAGAGAATCTTCACCAGCACACAACGGCAGTCTTCACAGCAGGGAAGCCTGCAAGTTCTACAGACACAAGCCAGATTCCTAGGTCGGGTCTGCTCTTTTCTGGGAGGAGCATCAGAGGTGCCAAGACCCCCTCCTGATGCCCTCCCCACCCTCCCCACAGGGCCGGTCTGGAATAAGGAGTTTAGGACTCTCCCTCCTGCATATGGTCCCCAGGCCTGGCCCGGTCCAATCCGCATCCTCTACCCCTTTGACGTTTCCAACCCTGCCCCCTTCCTCAGCTTCCAGACCATAACGGTCACCTACACATAGGACAGAGCCATGACGTGACATCCCCATCCTGATACATCTTGGGATCATCACGTCCAAACTCCAGCTCATTTTCTCCCCTGCCAACGCCCCACCCCCTCCGCTCCAACTTGCTCTTTCCTCTGACTTGCTCATCTCCGTACTTTCAGATGTTCAGGCAAAAATACCTGGGATCCTTGTTTGCTTACTTCTAACTGCAAACATATATTTTTGCAACAGGCAACCCAGTCTGCTTTATGAAGTTTTTCCAGGATCTCATCACATGGTCCCTGACCGCCACCAACTCCGTCAGGCCCCCACCGTCACTCCCCTGGGGTCAACTGCCTCCCAGGCCTCGTGGTTTGACCCACTTGAAACGGGACACGCCCCTCTGCACCACCATCCCTTTAGAACCTCCCACGGCTTCCAGCCACTCAGGTCGTCCCTCAAGCGATACTCCTAGCCCTGTCTCCTGGACACAGAGACCCCGGTTCCCCAGCGCTCAGGCGTCCTTTTCTCACACGGCAGAGCCTCGAAGGTGGGAGCTGGGCGGGGAGGCCAGGGGTGGGGGGCGGGGGCAAGTGGGGAGGGGTACACAGCACCCACCTCAGTCGGGCTCATCAGCGCAGCCCCACGACCAGCCTGCGGGAAAAGCCGGGCAAATGGGGCGGGAACAGGCTCAGTTCAGCCTCACGGCTCCTCCGTGCAGCAGCTGCCTTCCTATCCCTCACCTCTGTGGCGCAGACCCGGTGAACAACCCTAGAGCAACCAAAATGACAACCGGAGGGGACGCCGGAAGTCCCTCCCTACACACATAGGGGAGCTTCTCCTAAGCCCTCATTGGCTCGCTTGCCGCTGCCTCTGCAGCCACAGCACTGTAAAGACTTCTGGGTATTGTAGTTTACGCTACCTCCACCACCTGTCAAGTCTCAGTTAAGTCACTCTCTCGTGGCTGACAAAGGCCAAGTGACTGTGTCTTGGGCGCTGGAAATGGAGTTAAAGGGCTCAAAAAAGAAGGCGGGCTTCACTTGCTCTTAAAGGGGACTTACCCAGATTTCCCCGAAAAGCAGCCCAGGAAGTATTTCAGAAGCACAGCAAGTTCCTAAAGACTACACCTCCGAGAGGACAACAATGACATAATGAGGCTACATCCGCCCCTAGCTATCAGCTATCTTATGGCTGTTTAGATACACCTGCTCTGGAATCAGTTTAAAGATCTTTCAGTATATTTGGCCCAGGAAGAGAAAAGACTTCAGACATAGGCAGGATGGAGAAGACAAGGAGGGATGACAGGAGGCACAAAAGTTGGTAGACAGGGTGACGCTGTGCCTCTGGTCCTCCCCCCCAAAAAAAAAACAAAAACAAAAACGTGTTTCCTGGGAATATGTCAGTGATTATTTGAACTCATTGAGCAACATATTTTTTCAAATATTTACTACTCTATATCATAGACTTTTTGCAATTAAGAACTTGAGACCAATCTGAGAAAAAGGTGACATCACATGCCATTTTTCTGCCGGGATAATATGTGCTCTTAAATAGTCAGAGCATGTGTACAAAGGGAGCACTTTGTCTCCAGATAAAGGTGTGGGGTGCTATGATCTCATCTCACTGGGAAGTGATGCAGTATTTCTCAAACTGCTTAAGTGATGTCTTCACAGGGAGCTATGTTTTTCATAATAACGCTTGTGTTTGGAAATTCGTGAAAGGTGTTAATAATGTTTAGTTATTAAAATAAAGTAGCAGAAATAATTCTAGGGAAACACAACTGTGATATGGACAAGTGAAAAAAAAAACGTTAAAATCTCGGTGAAATTTAAGTCTGAAAAGCCCGAGAATGAAGCTGAGCCTGTGGCTGTGCTGGAACCACACTCAGGTTTTCATCTCCAAAATGTGATTCTTTTTCATATTTGAAAACAAACTGTAGAGACGCAGATGATACTTAAAAGACTTGACAGAAAAGTGAAAAGTGACAATAAACAGGGAAGCTGTGCTGTGGTATTTATCTATGAAATGTTCAGTGAGCCCTGGCTGGTGTGGCTCAGTGGATTGAGCGCAGGCCTGTGAACCAAAGGATCCTGGTTTGATTCCCGGTCAGGGCACATGCCTGGGTTGGAGGCTAGTTCCCAGCAGCGGATGCACAAGAGGCAACCGTACATTGATATTTCTCTCCCTCTCTCCTTCCCTTCCCCTCTAAAGATAAATAAATAAAATCTTAAAAAAAAAAAGAAATGTTCTGTGATCTGGTGTATCTGTCCACACCATGCCCCTCTCCTTTCTTGGACAGTGAATAAGAACTTTATTCTCTACACTTTCTTCTCTTTGTGAATTCTTTCACAGCACATGCCACCAACCACCCTAACATTTTAGTGGCCAGTATGGGGACATTCTCTGTTTCTCGATCTCCTCCAGCTTCCTGAGACTGACTTGCTGCTAGGAGAGCAGTGGGCAGCGGAAGCTCGACCTGGGCTAAGCTCCTGACCCTGTTTCTGTGAGGTTTGGAGAGAGGATTCTAAACCTTCTCCGTCTTTCTGGACTCTGCAAACAGCCTCCTCCTTATTCATCTCCACTGCCAGCAATTGATATAAAGAAACCTTTTCTCTTTAGAACAACTGGTAAATTATACCCTCATAAGCAATCTTGAAGCATCTATATTTTTCTCCCTACCTAATCCCTCTAGAATTTGGCAACTCTTAATAAAGTCACGTCTGGATTCTGGATGTCACCAGAAAGCCTTAAGGAATTAAGATAGATTTTTCAAGCCAATAAAAGCCCTTGGAGAAACAGCCTGGTACCTTGCTTGTTCTCGTGGTTCATGGCAGTCATCCCAGGACTGGAAATTACTGGAAAGGAAGAACAGAACTAGGAAGAACAGAACTAACCACTCCCTACAGCCACAGGTGGAAGGTAAAATTGGAACAAAATGCAGCCTCAGGTTACAACACCCCAACAGCCCAGGGGCCACACAACACCCCTACCCCTTTTAAATCCAATTATAATCCAATAAAATCTCAAAGCCCCCCCCCAAAAAAAAATGTTCAGTGAGCACTTCCTGGGTTTCAGGCACTGCAGTAGCTACTAGTTGCTCTGTGTATACAGGACTGTTGTTTTCTCAGATTTGGTATTTGTCTATTTAGCATTCATTCATCACAAAGCCAAATTAAGGCACTTTTACAGAGCAGTGGTTATCATGTTGACCTTACAAGGACAAACTAAGTCAAAGATGTGCAAGTCAGTTTCACAGGCTCACAAAACTCATATCACAAACACCCCAAGAACAAGCCATGATGTGTATTCTCATTTCCTAGTAGGAGATGTCCCCACCTAGGTACTCTCAGGTACTTTAGTCATAAAAACATAATCTCAGTTCCTCCCCCACCTGCTCTTCCCTGTATGTAACAATTTCATGTGGACCTCTGTGATGTGCCCATCCTCTCATTGATAGGGCGTCAGGAGTGTAGCTAAGCTACTCCATGGTATTGCTGCCTTGGCATTCATTTTATTTCGCCAAGCAGGCTGCAGGAAGTTTCAATGGACAGGAGACAAAAGAGGCCGCTAGGATTTCTTTGACAAACTTTGAGGTTTCTGAGTCCTGAGCTGTATCTTGCAAGGCTTCAACAGAGAACAGCGTGCTTGGGGACAGATTGTGCATTGCACACAGCCAAGCCCTGGCACCCAGAATATGCCAAAAAGGAATTCGTACCCCTTGTCTGGATGTAGTAAATCCAGATGCGTCCTGGGGGAAGGGAGAAAAATAATGCCCAAGCCAAGGACACTGGAGTGGGTGTAAGGACCTTACCTAGTAATGACTATTTTAATAGGCTTATAGTTGTCTTATAGAACTCAAAGATTTTTGATGGCTGGACACAACATAATGACACTAGGACACTGAGGGCTTGGAATGAGAGAAGGGCATTAGGCAGGGCCACACAGCAGGTGGTACAGGCTGACACTGCAAGTAACCTGGAGCTGTAGGGGGCACCCTATGTAGAGGAAGCGACCGGGGCTAGCTAGGTTTCCCAGGCTCTTTAAGGATGGCCTCATTGAGTAACTTCATGGGCTCAGGAGCACAGGGTCTATCCCTAGTTGCCTGCATCTGGCTCTGATACAAGGGGGATGGTATATACCAATCCCGAGTGTGAGTCCACCATAAGGTCAGTGGTTACCGGTACACACTTGATCAGCTGCCCCGAAAGGGAAAATGACCCGCATCAAGCCAGGAAGTCAAAATTGGATCAATGCAGTATTTTCATAAAGCTGTGTATCAAAACACTGTGGTACTGGCATAAAGACCAACATATAGAACAAATCACCCAGAAATGAAAGGCAGTATATTTGATCAGATAATTGACAAGAGTGCTAAGAGAATCCAATGGGAGAAGGCAATCTTTTCAACAATGAACTTCTTGGCATTGACACAAAATGCACAGGAAACACAAGCAAAAACAGAGCAATTGTACTATATCGAATTACAATATTCTGTACATTAAACCAGCGGTCCCCAACTTTTTTGGCACCAGGGACTATTTTGTGGAAGACAATTTACCCACAGACCAAGGTGTGTGTATATGTGTGTGAATGGTTTCAGGACAATTCAAGCACATCACATTTACTGTGCACTGTTTGTACATTTATTTGTGCATTTCTATCATTATTACATTGTAATATGCAATGAAATAATTATACGACTCACCATACTGCAGAATCAGTGGGACCCCTGAGCTTGTTTTGCTGCAACAAGAAAGTCCCATCTGGGGGTAATGAGAGACAGTAACACCAAAGTGTGCTGCTTATGTCCAGTCTATTCCATGATCCCGTTTTGGTTGCTGTCTTTGCAGAAAACCCTGCTGAGCAAAGGTAAGATGTTGGAAACGGAAGGTGGCTTATCAGTGCTTTGGTGGCAATCTCAGATTGCTTTGCCTTCTCAGAATATTCTGCCTTCACTTTAAAATCCAGAACGTATGTTACTTGTCACTCACTCATAGGGTTTTGATATGAGTCTGCAAGCAATTGATTATGGTCTCTGCAGTCAAACCTTTCTGGTAATGATAATCTGCATTTGCGTCCACTCCCCCATGCTAGCTAGTATCACCGCCTCAGCTCTAGCTCAGATCCTCAAGCATTAGATTCTCATAAGGCATGTACAACCTAGATATCTGGCATGCTCAGTTCACAGTAGGGTTTGCATTCTTCTGAGAATCTAATACTACAGCTGATCTGACAGGATGTGTAGTTCAGGTGGTAACGCAAGCAATAGGTAAAGGCTGTAAATACATATGAAGCTTCGGTCACTGGCCCGCCACTCGCCTTCTGCTGTGCAGTCCAGTTCCTAACAGGCCATGGACCAGAATTGGGGCTGGGGACTCCTGCATTCAAGAATACTATCAGCTCTGACTGGTGTGACTCAGTTGGTTGAGCATCATCTCACAAAGCAAAAGGTCATGGGTTTGATTGCCCGTCAGAGTACCTGCCTGGGTTGCAGGCCAGTTCCTGGTTGGGGTGCTTGTGAGAGGCAACTGATTCATGTTTCTCTCCCTTCCTTCCCCTCTCATAAAAATAAGTAAATATATATCAACAGAGTGAACAGGTGACCTTTTGAATAGATGAAAACATTTATAAATCATATCTTCATTAAGTGGTTAGTATCTAGGTTATATAAAGACTGCTAAACCCAACACTAAGAAAATAACCTGATTTTAAAATGGACAAGTTTAGACATTTGCACAAAGAATATACACAAATGGCCAAGAAGTATGTAATTGTTAATCATTAGAGAAAGATTAAACAAAACCACAATAAAATACTACCTCACACTCACTAAAATAGCTACTATTAAATACAAAACAGAAAATAAAAATTGACTGAGGAGGATGTGGAGATATTGGAAATCTTGTGGACCTTGATGAAAACAGTTCCTGGGTTCCTCAAAATATTAAAAATAGAATTATCCTTTGATCCTGCAATTCCTCTTCTGGCTATATATCCAAAAGAATTGAAAGCAGGATCTTGAGGTGATTTTGTGCAGACACCTTCAGAGCAGCAATCTTTCCATCAGTCAAAATATGGAGGCAAGGGAAGTGTCCATTAGCAGGTGAGTGAATGGATAGAGAAATTATAATAAAGATATATAATGAAGTCTTACTCAGCCTTGAAAAGAAAGGTAATTCTGAAATTATGGCAGGTAGAGAAAGCTGTTCACAAAAAGACAAAAACTGTATGATCTTATGTGAGGTAGCTGGGGGCAATGAAATGCAGAGACAGAGTAGCATAAAAAGGTTGTCAAAGGCTGCAGGAAGAAAAGAATCAAAGTTGTTGTTTAATGTGCAGTTTCACTTTTGCAAGATGAAGAGTTCTTGATATCCATTGAACAATGGGAACATTGAATGGTATTGAACGGTACACTAAAATACTTAAGCAAAAATTTCATGTATGTGTACTTTAAGTACAAAATCCGTAAGTACATAATCATACTTTACAATGCCAATTAGAGCAGACTTTCGGCTGAAATCTTTTCCCCACTTATTGCTCTCATAAATTTTTTCTCTGGTATGAACTTTCCAGAGTCAAGTGGATGGGAATTTTAGTGAAAGACTCTGCAGCATTCATTGCACTCAGATGGCATTTTCCCATGTAAACTTGACAATGTTTAATGAGGCCGCAGTTGTCATCAAAGTCGTTCCCGTATCTGCTGCTCTCATATGACCTCAGAGCAATGTGAACTTGCTGGTGTGTATGAGTCTGGAGTGGAACCAGGAAAATTGTTCACATTAGCTGCACTCGCAGCAACTAAGGGGTGTTCTACCTCATGGCCCTTCCCCAGTGTGAATTTTCTGGTATCTAATGAGTGTGAGGCAGTACTAAAAAACTTCCTACATTTGTTACAGTCACAAGGCCTTTCTCGGGTGTGAACTCCCTGATGAATGATGAGTGAGGAGCCGTCCAGAAAGGATTTCTGACAGTCGCTGCGTGCGTAACTCCTTTCTAGTGTGGATTTTCTGGTGTTCAACAGCTTTGTCTTTGCGGCTGAAAGCTTTCCCACATTCTCTGCACTCATAAGGCCTCTCTCCACTGTGGATTTTCTGGTGGTGCACAAGTATATGTTTGCGTGTGAAGGTTTTCCCACATTCACCACACCCATAGGGCCTCTCTCCAGTGTGAACTCTCTGGTGTATAATCAGTGTAGAATGGTTCCCAAAGCATTTCCCACATTCACTGCACTCGTAGGGCTTCTCTCCAGTGTGACCTCTCTGGTGTCTAATGAATGTGGAGCGGTTCCCAAACAATTTCCCACATTCACTGCAAATGTAAGGCCTTTCTTCAGAGTGGACTTTCTGGTGACCAATGAGTTGGGAAAGTGTAAGGAAGGCCTTCCCACATTGGCTGCACCCAAAAGGTTCCGCCTTGCTGTGAATTCTCTGGTGGTCATTGAGGCATGATACCTGTGTAAAGAATACTCCATACTCTGAGTGCTCAGAAAACCTTGCTTTGGTGTGGACTTTCTGGTGCTGATCAAGTTGGGAGTTTCTAGTCTCTCCACAATCCCTATGCTCAGAAGGCTTCTCTCTGGCGTTGACTTTCTCATGGTCAACAAGTACACGTTTATAGAGGAAGGCATTCCCACAATGAGTGCACTGGTAATCGTTTGGCCCATTTTGCAAGATCTCTCTACCTGCAGTATCCCTGTGTGGCTTCCCCACGCTGTGGGAAGCCTGTTGTTGGAAATGGCCGGTGCTGGGTGTCTCCCTGCGTGACAACGTCCTCTCTGTCACGTGAACTCCATAGTTCTTCACGAATGAAGACCTCGCCTTGTCCGGTCTGGAGAGTTTCTCTCCAGTTTGCTGCTTATGGTGTTCGTTCTTTCCCCCACAGCTGTACAGGCCTTGATCAGGGTGCGTCCTGTCCTGCTTATCCTGGTGCAAGATGTCTTTCAAGAGTGGGCCACACATCTCCCAAGAATGAGACTTCTGGGTGGATGGATCTGGACTTGAGGCCCAGACCTGTGACCCATCCGCAGAATCACCTTGCCCTGAAGGGGCCTCCTCCTCCTGGACTCCAGGCCAACGACCTATAAGCAGACAAATGCCAGTGAAGTACATGTTGACTTTGGTGGGAGGGGGCAGCTCATCAGAAATGTGCATCAGACACCCAGGAATAAGGGACTGCTGACAGGCGAGGGGGTCCTGCTGGCCTGGGAGCTCACAATGGGAGTGCCTTGATGACGGGGAAAGACACGAGGAAGGGACTGGGCAGGGAGGAGATGCAGCATGTTCGGGTCACTGCTCTGAAAATGGCTTTTAACAAGGGCATGGCTGCTGGTGACTGGTAAGTACTGTGTAGTAGCTTATGTCCAGACCCAGACATACCTGACTAGACACAGTAGCTGGTATTCTAGAACTATATAAGGACATGTGCAGATGTCACTATGCTGTAAGTGTAGGTCAAATGTCAAGAGCACTACAAAGGGAGTAGTGGAATGGAAATTCAGGAGACCTGGAGAGACTGGAAGATACCAGAAGAGGACGCAGCACCCATGGTCTTGTGGTGGGAAGGACAGAGTTGCCCCCGGAAAGGACAAGAACGGAGTCCAACCCAGGATGCCGGGGTGGGTGTGAGGGCCTCACCTACGGAGGACAACAGTGCCAAGTTCTCCAGCATCACACTGTGGTACAGGCGTCTCTGGGCCTCATTCAGGAGCCCCCACTCCTCCTGGGAGAAGTGTACAGCCACATCCTCAAAGACCACACGGCCCTGTGAAAATGGGGGCAGTTTGATCAATGTGCAGCTTCTGTCTCCAGGATCTTCAGTCTTTCCCCCCATGCTTCCATCCCTCTCGCCCTCCAACTAACTTCCAATGTGGAAGACAAACAAGTCTCCTGCCTGTTCTCTCCTTATCACCACTGATAATGTGAAATGTGAAAACAGGTGGAGGAGGGAGCAGTTCACCTAAGCTCTGGGCCTGGAATGGGGCTCCATTCCTCTTTTATCAGTAAATTATCCTTGCGGTCCCCCAGATTTTAACCCCCAGACAATAAACTTGAACTCCTCTTTCTCCTTTACTCAGCCTGTGTCAGGGTCTGGGGCTAACCACTGATATCGCTCCTCACCTGCACGTCAGTCCTGTTCTGAACCTCTTTACATACCTGGTCCCTCCACATTCCCAACCCAGTTACTAATACCCTGCCCGCTATAGGCATTTCCATGGCCTCCTAACATGCCACTGTGAAATCCAGGCAGTGTTTTGCAAATGGAATCACTGTCCAATTTTGCCTCATCCTGTCCCAGAACTCCCAAGACACCTAGCCCCAGAGAGCACCAGGGTCCCAGTGCATCTTCCCCACCTGGTCCGGTCACCTGTGTCACACTAAGCCCCCCAAACCTGAGGAGCTCACAGCTCTTAGTCCTCCCCCACTGTACTGCTGTCCTGCAAGCAGTTGCGAACAATCTCTCTTCCCTTGACCCTCATTCAAAGCCCAGCTACGGCAAAACTCCCCACCCCCTCCCACACCATGTAATGCTCCTGGCTGTCCCTTTGCACCTCAATTAATCTACCAGCCTGAATGAAACAAGACCGGCTCCACCAAGAGTGACTCCCACACATGGGAGTCCAAAGACGGAGAGAGCCCTGCCCTGAGCTGACACCTGACCTCCTTCACGGAGATACTGCGACATCTCTCTCATATCCCTGACTCCCTTGGAAACCTTTCAGACTCCTCTGCCCTTGTCCCTCATAGGCACCTCCAACCCTGCTTCCATACCTGCCTCTGTGAAGCCCACCACCACCATCCAGGCTTCCAACAGAGACAAATCTTGGCGTCCTCCACCCACTCCCTGCCACCATGACCTAGCAAAACCTGATGGACAACTACACTTCCATCCATGCGCCAGCAACTATGTTGGGGTCGCCTGCAACCTGAACACATCCCCTGACCTCCAGACCTGTGTCTACCTGCGAACTGGGCACTTCCACTCAGACTCTCTGGGACATCTGAAACAAAACCCAACTCTTCCTAGTCCCTCTGAAAATCCCTCCTTCTGCTGACTTCCCCATCTCAATAGATAGAACAGCTATCCTTCCAGGGAAAGCCAAAAGCCTTCGGGCCATCCTTGAATCCCCCGTCTACCCCATCTTCCAGCTGCCTCACCCTCCATGCATGCCACGAAATGGGGCCAAATGTATGCAGAACATTTCCAGAAGGCAACCTCTCCTCTCCCTCCACAGCCTGCAGTGCCCAGCCACCATCACAGTAACTTTCTCCTGGGTCCCTCCACCTCCACCTCCATCCTCACAGTATCTCCTCCACCCTGCACCTAGGCACAGTCTGTTAAAATCTGGGTGAAATCACCTGGCTCCTCTGCTCCAAACTTTCCATGGCTCCTACTCCCCTCAGATTGAGACCCTGGACCTCAGGTTGCAATTTTAGACCTGGTAACTGTGTCCCTATTCCCCAAACACTCTCCTAACCATTCTGTATCCTACCCAGATTTAATATTCCAGCTTAGTCTCACTTCCAATCATTTGAAAATTCTGGACCCTGGGCCCAAGACAACCTTCCACATCTTACCCCATCAGCTGTCAGAAATGAGAACGACTCCTGGCTGCGTGGCTCAGTTAGTTGGAGCATCATCCCAGGAACCAAAAGACAGCAGTTTCAACTCCCAGTTGGTGAGCACATGGGAGGCAGCTGATAGATGTTTCTCTCTCTCAATAAACATATTCTTGGGTGATGATTAAAAAAAAAAAAGGAAAGAAAGAAATGGGAATCACTCCATATAATTTGAGGCTGAGTTCAAGACCCTGGGCCTCGGCGAAACCACAGGAACTTCAGACCCAAGGGAAGAAAAAAGAGAGATGAAGAAGCTCACGACACCCCCATTCTTTCTAAGAGAGTGGCAAAACCATCAGGGCTGATAAGAGTGGGGATGAAGGTCTGGTACATCCTCCACTCACCTGTGCCAGATCCATAAGCTTTTCTGCCAATGTCACGGTAACCTGTGGGAAGAGGGGGTCCATGAAAGACAGGTAACCTTGGTAGGTGGCTGTGGTGGCTGAGCTGGACCACCATCCCTGCCCTGCCCAGTTCCTCTGACCTCAATGCCACTAGGATCAGCTGTGTGACTGCATAGGACCGAACTGCCCTGAGCCCCAACTACATTACTGTAAAGTGGGGCAATTGTTCCCACCTCATAGGGCTCATAACAGTATCAAAACATAAATTGTGCACACTACTTGTCAGCTCTAACTATCCAGGCAGGAGATTAACAATTTTGTATGTTTTTAGTGCAAGGGAAGGGATAGGGTTTTGAAAATGTGGGTTTGTATTCTTCTTGCTTTTTAAGGTTTTCAGAGGATGTGATATATAACATTCTGTTGTTAGCAAATACTACAGGTAAATTAACGTTTCAATTTTTATAGTGTTGCCATAATTAATTTATTCAATGTGTTCATTTAAAACTTTTTATTGACTTTTTTTTAGAGAAAGATAGGAAGGGAGAAACATCAGTTTGTTGTTCTACCCATCCATGCATTCATTTATTGATTCCTGCATGTGCCCTGACCAAGGATCAAACCTGAAATCCCTGTGCATGCATTGGGATGACACTCCAACTAACTGAAGCCACTCAGCCAGGGCAAATGTGTTCATTTCTGGTTGCCTACCTATGTGTACATATTTAGAAGAATACTGGTTAACTGTTGTTTTAATCAACAAATGCTTCATACATCCTGAATTTACTGAGTTGTAGGGAAGACTCTGAACAAGCAGGTCAGCTTCTCTTCCTTTCAGCAAAGAAGCCTATCTGCTACATGATCCTTTGAAGGGTACCTTCAGAGATCCCTTACTGTCTCACTCATTCACTCCTCTTGCCCTGAGGGGTAGAGGATACAGCAGTGCCCTTGTCTGGAGCCCATATGCTTCACAAACCTGGCTGTTTCTTTGTTCCACAGAAATTTCCCCCCAGGATCCCTTGATCTGCAGGGCTAAGTCTCTACCACCACCTTACACCTCCACCTCCATCCTGACCAGCAACGTCCCACATTCAGGTTCCTCTTCTACAGACACGAGCCAGAATACCTCCCATGCCGAAGATGCTCCTTTCTGGGATGCTGAAACCTCTATGCCCTTCATTCAGTCTCAGGCCTCCTGACATTCACCACAGGGTCCATCAGAAATAAGGACCTTAGGCCCTGGCCAGGTAGCTCAGTTGGTTAAAGCATCTGCCAAGGTGCTTTATGGTCCCGATATACCAAGGTTTCGGGTTTGATCCCCAGTAAGGCCACATACAAGAATCCACCAATGAATGTATAAATAAGTGGAACAACAAATCAATGTTTTTCTCTTCAAAAATCAATAAATAAAATTTAAAAAAGAAATGAGATCCACAGGGCACACAGGGTCCAGCCCAGGCCCCTTTCCGAGCCTCCAGAACTTTAAGTCCACATACTCATGTGACTTTGTAAGATCTTAGTGACCAGGAAAGTAAGAAGAAAATTTCTTGGCAAGTTGCATGGGGAAACGGAGACAGCTGAACACACTGACTAAGAAATTTACAGCCAGATACAACAGGTCATCACCCTAGAGATAACATCTAGGCCTCAGTGGTATTTCAGCTCCAGGTCTAGAAAAGTAGCAAAACCAGGTGGGTGATGCCAGAATCAACTGCAAGGATTAAAGAACTCCTGGTTCTGCCACTGACCAATCAGTGGACACCATGACCCTAAAAGGGCACACCTGGAGAACTGAGGAATAGTTCACTTAAACCCTTGCCTGAGATGTTCCCTAAGATTCCAGCCTGCAAGAAAGATATAAAAGTCCCAAGAAAAAGAACCCAGAGCTTGCTTTCCCTCTAGGGAGTAGCGCCTACCACTCCCTTTCCCTTCTTCCCCCACTTGTTTCTTCATGGGTACGTGTCTCCTTAACTCTAATGGTCCCCACAGGACTTGCAACCAGGGGTGAAATGGGCGGCAGCAGCTAGTCCCAGACTAATTCCCTGAACCTGTCCCCAAAGCTCCCTTTTCTCTGGTTTCCCAGTGAGCTAAGACAGGCCCGCCTAGGCTCTTTCCTGCTGCTTCTATTCTAAGCTCTTCCTTGTCTCACTGTTCCCAGCTTTAATAAATGTTCCCTCATGGTAACCCGGACTTGTGTTGTGAAATCTTTCCCATATGAAGTCAAAACCCCCAAATCTACATCTGGTCCTAGGCAGACCCACTCAGGGCCGGTTCCCGTCCAGTAACACTGGGATCACATGTCCAAAATCCAACTCATAATCTCCCTGAAACCAGCTTCCAGTGCTCGCTTCCCGCCTCCATACTTTCAGATGTTCAGGCAAAATAAATAAAACTTGGGAAGTTTTATTTATTCCCGCCCTACTTTTGCTTACAGCTACAAGTGATGTATCAGGAGACCTTGGAGGTTGAAGTGTCTCCAGAATCTCAACACTTGGCCCCTGACCGCTACCAGCCTTGTCCCGCCCCCTACCATCGCTCCCCTGGGGCAACTGCCGTGTACGACCTCCCCGCCCCGTGGTTCGACTTTGAAACGTCCAACACCGAACGAGGAAGACGGAACACGCCCCTCTGCACCGCTGTCCCTTCAGAACCTCCCACGGCTTCCAGTCACTCAGATCTTCCCTTGAAGCGACACTCGTCGCCCAGTCCCCTGGACACAGAGACCCTCGTTCCTCAGGGCTCAGGTGCCTCTAGAGGAACGCTGCTCCGTCCTCGCACGGCGGACACCGGCCTGACTCCCGGACCCGAGCGGCGCCGCTCCATCTGGGCTCGGACTCGGAGGTGCGAGCCGCCGGGAGGTGGTTGGGAGAGACCAGGCGGACACAGCACCCACCTCAGTCGGGCTCACAGGCGCGACCCGCCACCAGCATGCGAGAAGATCTGCCGTAATAAAAGGGCTCCGTTGTATCTTAACAACACCTCTGCTCCCGCTTCCCATTCACTTCGCTGGGACTCAAGTCTGATGCAGCTCGGGACCACTGAGCGCACCCACGCCCGCTAAAGTCGCTTCAAGTCACAGGCTCACAGGCGGGCCTCTGAAGCCCCGCAAGCCCCGCCCCCACGCAACGCGTCGAAACAAGTCTCCGAAACACATCCCCCCGCCCTACGCGCCGCGCACGCACGCTGAGCCCTCATTGGTCAGTCGCCGCCTCCGCACTACCTTCTGGGTAACGTAGTTTCCACGCCGTTACCCGCGCGGCTTTAGAGCGCAGGTCGCTGCGGTGGCTGGGTACTGACTGAGGGATGTTGTGAGGCGCGCTTGGAAACGGCGTTCCGGGGTGCAAACGGAGCCGATTTGGCTGGCTCTTAAAGGGGTTCCACATAGATTTCCTTGGACTGTAGTCCAGGGACGTGGGAGAAAATTTTTCTTTTTCTCCAAAAATGTTTAGAAACCTGTTATTTCAGACTCGGGGAATCTGGGTTTCCAAACGTTGTTCGTAGAAAGGGAGACACAACACGGTGATGACACTTGTCCCCTCAACGCTGTTGGCTATCTTGTTTGTCTAAGGTACATTGACGCTTGGAGTTGTTTTTATGAGCTTCAACAGGGTCGTCAGGGACAGTAAGGAAATGCCCCAGACAGGGCTGTGATGGGGAACTGAAGGTGGGATGACTGGCGGCGTAGAGTGAGAGTGACTCTGTGTCTTTGGCTCCCACAGAAAACGTCTTTCCTACCTGTATAGTCAATGATTGTGTTCCAATCTAGCGAGCCACATTTTTATTCAGATATTTATTACTCCATAGGTGAGGTGCTTTCCGTTGCTTTTTATCCTCACCCAAGGTCATGCTTTGTTGATTTTAGAGAGAAGGGAAGGGCGGGAGAGAGGGAGAGAAACTCGGATGTGAGAGGGAAACATAGATTGGCTGTCTCTCCCACACGCTCTGATTAGGGATGGAATTGCAACTCAGGCATGTGCCCTGATGGGGAATTCAACAAGTGACCTTTTGCTTTGCAGGACAACACCCAACCCAGTAAGCCACGCCAGCCAAGGCTAGTTTTCATTTAAGAATCTGAAAGCTCTCTAAAAGAACAGAGACTTATTACATGCCACCTTCTGTTGGGACAGTGTATGCCTTTCTGACAGAGTGCAACGGGGCATTATTTGTGATCGCTCCTCCTTGCTATGTAGTTCATAATTTTATCTATAATTGCAGTGACAGTGTCTGCCAGGGAGTTGATATTATTTCTGGCAAAACACTTGTAAGGTGCATATTGCTAAATACTACTGTTATTAAAAATGACTGTAGTTTTTCAAGGAAAGTGACAAAAATGGTCATAGAGAAATACAGCAGGAACAAGTTGGAGGAAAAAAGGTAAGGTTTCAGTGATGTTTGAGCAAGAGGCATTGAGTGTAAAGTCAGAGAATGAAGCTGAGGTTGTGGTGTGCTGGCACCTTGGCTGCACTCAGGGTGTCAGCCCAAAAATGTGATTATTTTTAATACTTGAAAACACTGCACATTAACATTTGGAGAGAAAGGTAAAAATGATATATGTTTTTAGATTTTGTTTTTTAGAGAAATGGAGGGAGAAAGAGAGGGAGAGAAACATCAAGGTATGGTTGCCTCTTACACATCCTAAACTGGGGACCTAGCCCACAACCCGGGCATGTGCCCTGACTGGGAATTGAATTGGCGATCCTTTGGTTTGCAGGCCAGTGCTCAATCCACTGAGCCACACCAGCCAGGGCAAAATATTTCAAAAGAGTTGCCAGAAAGTTAAAAACAAAGTTTTACTGTTGTATACTTACTGATCTACATTTGGTGATCACTTAGCTCTATTTTTCTCTAACGTTGACAATGAAATCACTTAGTGGTAATAGTAGCTCAAAATCATATCCACATAAGTAACCTTGGGGATATTCCTTATGGTCTGTCTCTCCTGCAGGTTTGGCTAAGAAAAACAAAAGGGGAGACTAACAAAGTGCTTATTTTCATATCCAGGAAAGGGAAAGGCTGTTCTTGGGACAAATTCCGACACTGTGAACAAGAAACCAAGATTAGAGATAACTTCAGATGACTAACAGGCTCATTCCAGTTAACTCAGCTTCTGAAAATTATCAAATTACTGATAATCCCAAACTTCTAAAATTCAGCCACTGAGTGCTCAGTCCCCCAAAAGACAGCCAATCAGTGACAGCCTAGGATCCTAGGCAAAAACCACATGCTAACAAATACCCTCCAGGTAAAAGGAGAAATTAACAGGGAAATTTTAAAAGCATTAATATTTTGAACTAGATGAAAACAAAAATGCTACCTGTAAAAAATCAATATGATACAGCTAAATTAAGTGCTTAGACGGAAATTTATAGCCTTAAACAGTTTATTACAAAAGAAGCAAAGTTAATAACCTAAGCTTCCCTGTTAAGAAACCAGAAAGATAAGACCAAACCAACCCCAAAGCATAGATAAGACAGAGAATAATAAAGATGAGAACAAAACTCATTGAAAAAAAATAGAAAAACACATTTAAACATCAATGAAACAAAAACTTAGTTCTTTAAAAAGCTCTCCCCCTCTCTCTTCCCTTTCCTTTCTCTCTCGCTCCCTAAAAAATCAATTAAAAAAATTTTAAAATGCCCTGCCCATGTAGCTCAGTTGGTTGGAGTGCTGTCCCTGTATAACAGGGTTGCAGGTTTGATCTCTGGTCAGGTCACATACAAGAATCAACCAATGAATGCATAAATAAGTGGGACAACAAAATCAGCATTTCTCTCTCTCTCCTCCCCCTCCCCCTAATAAAATCAGGAAAAAGATACTATTGACCCTACAGAAATTAACATTATCAAAGGGAGTATTATAAACAATCTTTATCCAGTTATCAAAGGTGACAAAGTAGAAAATCTATACAGAACTATACTGAGTAATTTTTATTGAAAATCTTCCTACAAGAAAATTCCAGGCTCACCTACCTTCACTAAGTAATTTTGGCAACCATTAAAAAAAACAGTATCAGTAATCCCTCAAAACTTTCAGAAAATAAAGGAGGAAATACTTTCCAACTTATTCTGAATTCAGAACTACTCTGACAGCAAAATCAAAGATACCATATGAAACCTACAAACCCATTAACTCTCATCAATACCAATGCAGAAATTAACAAAGTATCCAAAAACTGATTCATCAACATATACAAAGGATTATTCATCATGACCAAGTGGGATTTGTCCCAGGAAATGCAAGGTTAAACATCTGAGTATCAATTAATGAAGTGTATGGTATAAGTAAAATAAAAGACAAGAAGAAAAACCATAACCACACAATGATTATCTCAATATATTGATGTAAAAATTTGGAATTGAATCTAGACATATATCCACACCTATACAGTCAACTGATCTTTGAAAAACAAGCAAAGGCAATTCAATGGAGAGAGGGTAGTATTTTCAACAAATGGTGCTGGGGGAGCATTTGAGATCTTCTTGGCAATTGTTCTCAGTTTTGGCTCAGATAAACTCTTAGTAACATTAAAAAAAATAGTGCTGAAACTACTTATTGAACATTGTCACATTAAAAAAGTGATCAAGATACAGATCTTACACCTTTCATACTTTCTCAAAATGGATAAAAGAAAAAAAAAAAAAACGGTTTATAGCCCTGGCTGGTACAGATCAGTTGTTTGGGTGTTGTCCTGTAAACCAAAAGGTCACAGGTTCAATTTCCAGTCAGGACACATGCCTGCATTGCAGTTCTGTCCCCAGTGGAGACATATAGGAGAGGCAACTGATCAATGTTTCCCTCTATTTCTCCCTCTGTTCCTTCCTCCCTCTTTCTCTCTCTCTCAAAAAAAAAGGGGGGGGGAGTATGGTAATAGAACTAACTGTATAATATGGAACTATAGAACACCTACAAGGTAGCAATAGAAAATGTAGGTAACTTTGTATTTGGCAATAACTTTTCAAATACACCAAAAACAACCCATGAAAAAATAAACTGGATAATTTGGACTTAAAATAAAATCTTTGTGTTGTGCAAAAGATAATCTGAAAAGATACTCATCTGTTATTAGGGACTTGCAAATTAAAGCAATAAATCTATTTAAATGGCTAAAATCCAAAACACTGAACACCAAATGTTGATAAGAACATGGAGAAATAGGAATGACTCTTGTTCATTGCTGGTAAGAATGCAAAATGGTACAGCCACTCTGGAAGACAATTTCTTACCAGACTGAACATACTTTTACTGTATGATCTAGCAAGTCATGCTTGCTGGCTTGAACTTAAAAAAACCGAAAATTTATATCCCCATAAAACCATAAATATATATTGAATGTTTATTCATAAACAAAACTTGGAAGCAACTAAGATGTCCTTCATTGGTTAAGTGGATAAAATGTGGTACATTCAGACAATGGAATGTTATTCAGTGATAACATACATAAATCTTCACAGCAGCTTTATTTGTAATAGTCCAAAACTGGAAACAACCCAGATATCCACTAATAGCTGAATGGATAAAAAACAACGGTTGTATATCCATACAATGGAATAACATCCCAAAATACAAACATACTATTGCTATATGTAACAAGATGGGTTGATCTCAAAATAGTCATAGTTAATTTAAGAAACCCAAGTCCCCACTCCCCAGATAGCATATTCTACAAAATGCTTGCTGCTGCTTGTGAATTGTTGAGAAATAAGTTTAGAAAAGTATTGGGAGGAAAGGAGTCCTTTGTGTTGTTGGACATATTTATGATCTTAACTGTGGTGGTGGTTTCTCAGGTACATACACATGCTGAAACACTTTACACTTTGCATTTGTGCAGTTTATTTCATGTCAATCATATCTCAATAAGAAACAAGCATATTTACCATCCTTTTGGAAGGACACATCTGCCCTTGCCCCCCAATTTAGGAAGGTGAGCCCTTCTCAATGTCAGCAAAAACTAGAGAGCAATGAAGTCCATTTCTACCTTGTACACGAGGACTACTGGTTGGGTCCCAGAAACCCTACCCCTGGACTTCTATCAGTGCTGGTGCAGTGATGGCCATGACATGAACAGCCCAGGGAGGTAGAGGAATCCACAAACCTTTTGAACACTGAAGGCCCTGAGAGTTTCTGCACACTCCCATCCCACAGAGGCACAATTGCACATTTACAGATGACTCCCTTAGGATAAACACATACCCTCTCATTTGCCAGTTATCTCCACTCAATGATCTAAATATTTCTATACAAATTATGATTCGCACCTTGCCCTGTAAGCCTTCCAGTCAATGACACCTGCCCATGGGACTCTGGACATCGGAGATAGTACATTAGGTCCAGGAGACAGAAATCCCTCAAAAGTGCTGGGGAGTATGGGGGGATTTCCTGAGAAAAAGGGACCCAATTCATGTTGCTTCCAGAAGCACTGGAGGTTTTTCACATCAGCTATGACCTTCTCAGAATGAACTCCAGGCTTCCAGGAAATCCAGACTCCAGGCCACAGGATTAGGCACACAAAGCTCTTCAGTCTTTTCCGACAAACCTTGGACAACAGTGCAAATCAGATCACAATAGACTGAGATCTATCTGCTGCCATCCTGCTGTCCCTTCTCAGGCACATAAAGTTGGTGCCAACAAAAGCCATTCCTCCCTTCATGCTGGCAGAACCCATTTTTCTCTCAGTCCACGTCGCACAGTGAACAGGCTCCCGAAGAGTCCAGACGGCCACAGCAGGCCTGTACCACTGTGTGAACCAGGGAAGCATGGGGCAGGTGGTTCCAACGGTGGGTGGTTGGGAAGCAGGACGAAGAGTTACAGCCCTTGTGTTTACAGCTGACATTGTCAATGAGAAAAATCTTGTCTGGAAATCCCAGCAGTTTCCTGCTCAAGTCCTTGTGCCCAGAGCTACATCACACCACTCAGAACCCAGTCATTGGAGAGAAAGTGAAGACCTTCAATGGGCTCAGAAAGCTCATGATTCTTTCTAGGGACTAAGAGAGAGCAGCAGGGGTCTGCCTTCCCTGAGCATGTTGGAGTGATTGACACACTGTAGGACCCTGACAGCTGGCAACAGAGGTGGCTTCTGTCACAGGCACCGGCACTGATATAACTGTCAAGAGCCCTGGACAGTTCAGAAAGTGCCATGTATGTACATGGAACTTCCTGGGAATGGAACCAGGCTGACGCATGAATGCACAAGGTACACCTGCTGGTTCAAGGCTCCCTTAGCACCACAGGTACTCACAAAGCTTTCCTCTGCTGTGAGTCCTGAGGCTGAATGAGGAGACAGCGCATTTTGTGCATGCATAAGGCTTTTTTTCTAGTGTGAACTTTCTGGTGTTAAAGAAGTTTAAGAGACACAGCTAAAGGGCTACCCAAACTGTTGCTATCACAAGGCCTTTCTCCACTATGAACTTTCTGGTGCCGCACCAGATGGGAGCTCCGGCTGTAGGCTTTCCCACACTCACTACACACATAAGGCTTCTCTCCTGTGTGAACCCTCTGGTGCAGGATGAGGCTAGAGTTGCGGCTAAAAAATTTCCCACATTCGCTGCACTCATAAGGCCTTGCTCCTGTGTGGACTTTCTTGTGTTGAACAAGGTGGGAGCTGCTAATGTAAGCTTTTCCACACTCAGTGCACACATAAGGCCTTGCTCCAGTGTGAACCCTCTGGTGCAGGATGAGGCTGGAGTTGTGGCTGAAGCATTTCCCACACTCACTGCACTCATAAGGCTTTGCCCCAGTGTGGATTCTCTGGTGCACAATCAGGTTGGAGCTGTGGCTAAAGAATTTTCCACACTCACCACACTCATAAGGCCTCTCCCCTGTGTGAATTTTCTGGTGTTGCACAAGGGTGTCCTTGCGGCTGAAGGCCTTGCCACACTCGCTGCACTCAAATGGCCTTGCTCCGGTGTGGATTATCTGGTGCTGGACAAGAGTGTCTTTGCAGCTAAAAGCCTTCCCACATTTGCTGCACACGTAGGACCTTGCTCCTGTGTGGACTCTCCGATGTTTAATAAGGCTGGAGTTATGGCTAAAGAATTTCCCGCATTCGATGCATTCGTAGGGCCTTGCCCCAGTGTGAATCCTCCAGTGCTCAATAAGGTGGGAGCTTTGGCTAAAGAATTTCCCGCACTCGCTGCACTCATATGGTCTCTCTCCAGTATGAAATCTCTGGTGCTGAACGAGTGTGTCTTTGCGGCTGAAGGCTTTCCCACACTCACTGCACTGGTAAGGCCTCTCTCCGGTGTGGATTCTCTGGTGCTGGACAAGGTGGGAGCTTCTGCTGTAGGCTTTCCCACACTCGCTGCAGTCATAAGACCTCTCTCCAGTGTGGACTCTCCGGTGCTGGACAAGCGTGTCTTTGCGGCTGAAGGCCTTGCCGCACTCACTGCATGTATAATGTCTCTTCCCAGTGTGAAGTTTCTGGTGCACTTTTAGGTGGGACAGGTGAATGAAGGCCTTCCCACACTCATTACACACATGGGATGTTTCTCCATTGTGAACTTTCCGGGGGTAAATAAGAGCCGATTTCTCCTTGGACACATTTCCGCATGGCGGGCAACTCACAGGCTTCTCTTCAGTATAAGTCATCTGTTTGTTAAGCAGAGTAAAGGTGCTCAGGAAGGCTCTCCCATCGTCGTTGCAACCAAAAAGCGTAAGTGCGTCGAGATCCCCCTGCAGTTGCCTGAGGCTGGTGCTGGGTGGGAAAGACTCTGTGAACCTGGTCCTTTTGCATGGACTCGACTCACAGTGAAGGGTCTGGAGCTGGAGGAAGCCAGAGTTGTCCAGCAAGTCCATTCTGTCTTCCCGGCAAGGAAAGGGTCTGCCCAATGTGTGGACAGCACAGCTCTTCCCCAATGAGGCCCCACCACTGTCCTCGCAGATGGGCTTCTCTCCACCATTTTGTTCCTGGTGCTCGTCAAAGTTTGACCTGAATGCCAATCCTCTCCCACATGGGCCACGCATGCATTGTTTCTGCATGGGGAATGGCCCCTGGTATCCAGCCAGGGTCAAAAGGTCTCTCAAGAGTGGGTCACACAGCTCACACAGGTGGGCTTTCTGGATAAATGGACCTGACTTGAGAGTCCTGACCGGCAACGCTTCTGCAGAAGTGCTCTGCTCAGAAGGGGCCTCCTCATGGTTTACTTCACACCAGCAACCTGGAAGCAGACAAATGCTGATGAAGTATGTGTTGACTCTGGTGCGAGGCAGCAACCCCATCACATATGTCAGAAATGAGTCCACTGACTTGTTGGCAGGATGAGGGAGCTAGGAGAGGGGTGAAGAAGGGCCCACGGTCAGTGCTGGACCTTTACGGGTCACGGAAGGGAGGAATTGTATCGATGGGTAAAGACGCAACAATGGTGTCCAGGACGGGAAGGAGAGGCGAGGTCTCCAACTGAGGCTGTACAAAAAAGCTTCAGCAGAGTCCTGGCTGCTGGTATCTGGTGAGGTCTGTGCAAAATGCTGTGTCCTGGCCCAGGAAAGTCTGACCGCAGGGAAACCACTGGTTGTTAAGCACTATTTAAAAATGTGTGCACAATGCTGCAGAGCATGGCAGACGGAGTAGAGAAGCGTGAGGGATAAGCAGAGGCAAGGGAAGTGGGGAAACAGCCAAGGGATGGAGACAAAAGAGAGATGACAAGTGGGCACGGTGCCAGGAGTGGAGAAGGAAAGGGAGCAAGCAATGAGGGGTTGTTATGGGCCTGGGTGAGAGGACACTGGCGCACACAAAGCAGGTTGAAGGGAAGGGGTGAACCCCGTGCTAGCAAAACATACTCTCCCAGCTCCTGCTCTACAAGGCCAGCCCCCCTCTGGCTCCTCTCGCTGTGGCTGCAGTCAGGTCTCCCCAAGGGCTTTCTGTCTGTGTCCACCTGGGCAAGTCCATGGGATCTGGCAGATGGAAGTTACAAGGAAAACACAGGGCAGATCAGCAGCCCAGGCAGACCCACCCATGGAGAAGAAAACAAAAGGTTAAAAAAGAACCTCAGAGGAGGATTTGGCAGAACAGTCCTGTGACCTCTGTAAGCAGTTATGACATCAGTACCTGTAGTTCTTGGCACAGCCAGGCCCCAGCAGATGTCAGCTAGAGGATGAGGGCAAAACGTGGGACACAGACATGCCATGGAGCTGGACAGCACCCAGCCAGGGAGTGCCCATGCCAGGCAGAGTCTGTTGAGCTGACTGAAGATGCCCCAAGTCCCTAACTCGTTCCTTCAAGGCTTTGGGCAGCAGGTGTGGAAACTGGTCAACAAGCCAGGGGGTTACCCTGCACAGGACCCAGCCCTGGCACCTACAACCCCTACTCTGGGAACCAGAGAAGGGACGGATAAGAGTCATTGATCTGGCTTGACGGAAAGAGCAGACCCTAGAGAATGGGGAATACGCAAACGCCAAGGACCCTGGAGTAGGTGCAAGTGCACGTGGAAGGCAGCCTCGAAGAGGGACCCCAGAGAGGCCGCCCTCCTGGCATTCTTGCCCTTCATAAGCGTTCATTGTAAAAGGGACTAACCCGTTTCTAAGGAATAGAATGCAGGAAAAATGATGAGATATCACTTTCAAAGTCAGACCAGAAAATGACCAGCTTGCATCCCGAGCATTCTCTCTCTTTCTCACTGGCTCAGAGAGGAGGTGGCTTCCCTGATATGAGGTAGGCCAGAGGAAGGCCGCCGTGGCACAGAACTGAGGAAGGCCTGTGGCCAACAGCCAGCAAGGAGCCAACGCTCACAGTTCAACAAGCCGCAAGAAAGTGAGGCTTGTGAACAGTGATGTGAGTGAGTTTGTAAGTGGAGTTTTCCTGAGCATAGCCTGCAAAGGAGAACGAGGCTCTGGCTGACTGCTTGACTGAAACCTCACAGGACAGCATGAGAGAATGCACCAGGTAAGCCGAGACCAGATTCCTGATGCACCGAAATTGAGATAATAAATTTTTACTGTGTTAAGCCAAAAAATCTGGGGGAATTTTGCCATATACTAACAGATAGCTAATCCAGGGACTTACCCAGTGAGGACACGAGGGCAAAGTTCTCCAGCATCACATCACGGTACAGGCATCTCTGAGCCTCATCAAGGAGCCCCCACTCCTCCCGAGAGAAGCACACAAACACGTCCTCGAAGGTCACACAGCCCTGTCATGAAGGGGACAGTTGAGCTCACAGGCAGCACTGCACCTCTCCCCACATCTCACTGCTCACATGAGCACTCCTGGGTCCCTCCCTGTCCCCCAAACCTCTCAACACAGGGGTACCAGGCCTTGGACCACTTAGTGACTGCTGTCTCCTTACATCCCTGGGATCACTGAGTCTAACCCTGAGCAGACCCGGGCAGGTGAGGCAACAGGTATAACCTATGGGTCTGGCAGGAAGGACCCCAAACAGTCCTTTGCCAGCCAGTTCTGGTGTTGTCCAGACCAGGCCTCCCAGACACAACCTTCAGCCCCTCAGTCCATACTCCTCCCACACAAACACCACTGTCCTCACATCTGGTAACACATTCCACTACCACAGACAACCTCTGGTCCACACCATTTGTACCCTCGAGGGAACCCCCACCCTACTCTGCACGAAAGGTCCAGCAAATGCTCCCATGTCTTTATGACAGCCACCACTGCCACCCAGGTGCCTAAGCAAGACACAGTCTTCAGTGCCAAGTTTTGAGTTCCTGATTATCAACAGCACAGCCACCACAACCTGAAGATACTCCCTCTGAAACTGAACCCATTCCACCCCATTCCACGCTGCTGCCACATTTTGAACTTCTTCGACAGGACGAAAGTCCTGTGTGCAGCTGGATGCCTCCACTCAGGGGTCTCTGGAACTTGTTAAACCAAACAGGACGAAAGCCCAATCCCCCTATAGCCACTGAAAATTACTCCTGCCACTAACTTCTCTATCTCAGCTGATGGCACCTGCTAAAGCAAACCCCCCTGGGGACACCCATGACTTTTTGCTTTTTCTCATTTACCCTTCGCATTGGAAAACCCAGTCAACCTACTTAAAAAACAGATCCGAAATCCACCAACTTCTCTCATTTCCTCAGCCACCCCTCTAGGCCGGCCACCATCAACACTCCTGTGGAATACTGCACTAGCTCCCTCCTCTGGCCAACACTTTGTTCTCAACCGGACAGCAGCCAAAGGGAGCCTGTTAAGACCTGAGTCAGATCATCTCTCCCTTCTGCTCCAATGCTTCCAAGTGTTACCACCCTCAGAACAGAGACCCAGCCCATGCCTTCCATTCCTGCCTGACTCCTGGCCCCGTTCCCAACAGACATAATGAAGACCTGTGATTCTCTGAGGACTAATACACCCTTGTAGTCCTCATCCTCTTGGCTGCCAAAAGTAGAAACCTTTCCATATAACTTCTGGCCCAGATTCAAAATGCTGGGCCCCCGGACTCAAGTGCAGAGAAAGGAACAAGTGAAGAGTTCGAGAATATTACTATGTCTCATCAGAAAACCTGGCCAGTCCTGCGCTGGCAGGGCTGCTCAGATGATTGGAGCATTGTTCCATATACCAAAAGGTTGAGGTTTTGATTCCCAGTCGCTACACACGCCTAGGTAGCAAGTTCGATCCCTGATCAGAGCGCGTACTGGATGCAGTTGATCAACCAACTGGTGTTTTTCTTTCACATCAGTGTTTCTCTCTCAAAAGTAAAACATATCCTCGGGTAAGAATTAAAAAATAAAAACAATCTGGTCTGCCCTACTTAAAAACATATACAAAACCTATACACTTCTCCCACCTCCACTGCCACCTCTGTGGTCCTCCCATCATCAACACCCACTTGGACACCATCCTTGTCCCCTGCCCAAGCTTTCCATTCTGCAGCCAGAAGGAGCCTTTTTGACACCCAAGTCAGATCACCTCCTTCCCCTGTTCTAAACCTTCTGTGGCTCCCACCATCTCCTCAGCTTGCCTCTCCTGGCCTGAGCCCTGACCTCCTGCTGTCTGTTCTCGAAAGATGTAACAGAGACGCGCGGCTCCTGCACCTCTCCTGACTCAGTCCCATCTCCAAGGATTTGTACCAGCTGGCTCTCGTACCTTGGAAATCCTTGCATACCTCAAGCCAGGGGCACGGAGAAAGGGAACCACGCCTTATATTCGGCGGCAGCCAACACCCTCTATAGTCTTTAGACTCAAGAGGAGGGAAAGATGAGAGGAAAGCGATCGCCCCTAGATCCGAGTCACTGAGGACTTGAGGGACCCTGCCACTCACCCCAGCCCGGTCCATCAGCGCCGCGGCCGCCATGGAATCCCAAGAGCAAACTCGGGGGTTCAGTCGGACCCCACACCTCTTCTGGGCCGGGTGGCCTCGGGCTGTCACACAACGAGCCCGTCCCTCCCCTACCAGCCCCAGGTAAAAAACGCGCACAAGGCTCAGGGAGCCGCCTCCGGGGGCCGTCGAGGACAGGGTGAGGGCGCCCAGGCCGCAGAAAGAGCGCAGCCCCAACGGACACCTCGGCGCTGGGCCGCCCGTCCTCCAAGGGGAATCGTGTCTCATAACAAAAGGCGCAGGAGGACGCCCTTTCCTTTTAACCGTCCTTCCCCACTCGATTCCGAAGAACCGCGCGCAAGCGCACCATTCCAGGAATACAGAACCTCTGTGGCCACTGTAGACCGTCTGACAGTTCTGGCGCTGAATAAATACGTCATGACGGCGGCACCGGAAGTCCTATCCGCCCGATCAACACGGAACGCCCATCTTCTGGGCGGCCCAACGGAACAACTACGCGTTAGGCGCGGACTTCGGGGTAATGTAGTTTGTTCGCTGCATTCAACCGGGCAAAGGACACTTTTCAGATTCTGGTGACCACCGCGCCAAGAACGGCAGTGGGGAAAAGGTGGAGAAATAACGTCCTGTAGGGCCAAAGCGCGTCTTAAAGGGGACGCGCCCAGATTTCTCTGGTGGCCTGGGGCAGTGCCACATCCTTCGGGTCTCCAGTTGGTGATCCATTCTTTTCATCTAGGAAAAGCTGCTTCATCTTTGGGGACCGAGGTTAAATAGAACAACGAATACCCCTCGCTCCAGGGGCCTTTGCGCAGTAGTTACGTTAAATACACCCCAAATCCGTTGATTCCCAAATTTGGGTCCCTGCTGTGGCAGCGTCAGCATCTCTCCTGAACTCAGAGTGCAAGTCTTTGGTGAGTTCTGTGACCAGCCCCTCAGGTGGGCCACCACGGTTCCCAGGCCCTGGCTTCAGAACCCCCCACACTGGACTGTTAACGGGAGTTCTTCCACCGAGCACTAGCAGAGCTGAACACTCAACACCAAGAATGGTAGTGGAGAAATACTGGCTTTTTTATTGATGAGTGGCGCCACCAAGGGGACAGGAAGCTAACGCTCAAAAGCCCCAACTCCCTGATGGCAAAGGACAGAATCTTAGGACACCAGGAAGGGGTTCAGAGTTGGTTGTACTGGGAGTTAATTGGTCATAGGCGAGGTAAGGGCAATGCGTAATTTCTTCAGGTCTTGAGGGTATTTCTGATGTCTGCTCCTGCGCCCCTCTGTCCGGTCTCGTGGAAAAGTAGCCAGCTGGTTCTTCCACTTTAGGGCCCAGGAACTGAAATGTAACTTAGGTTAAGACGTTGCCTTTAGCCAGCCAGAGGGGCAAAATGTAACCATTTGTGAGTTCCAGGTTACTGTCTTCTGTGGCCTCGGGGGTTGCTGATTACCTCAACCCCCAAGGATAGGCTAGAAGAGAAAGGCTAGGACTGAGAGATTGGAGAGGGAAGAAGGAGAGGTGATTTCTAGAACCGGAGTTTATTTAAAACTAAATTTAATCAAAGTTATAAGGACTCTCGGCTTCAAATTTCCTCAAATACCCAAGATCTCTCTCCCATATGCACACCTTTTCACTGAATGTCCCCTGTGGGACCAGGTTTGAATTATGTGCCACAGTGGGTGTTGTGACTGGAACTCCTCTTTAACCCAAAGAGGAGCTCTGGGGGATCTGGAGGCCAGGCCTTCTTGTTTATTATTAAACACGATTTATTCCTTTAGGTGAGTGAAACTGATAGACCAATAAATATTGGCAGAGGGAAGATCCAGACCAATGTAGTTTCTGTAGAAAGGGTGAGGGACCAGGGCAGGGAAGGCACCTGAGTTTTGTATGGGAAGTGCGTCTTTTCTGTCTGGTTCCTTCTGGCGCACAACTACCTGCTGGCACAAGGCTCCCAACCTCTTCAGCCTGGACAAGCTGGTCAGCATTTGACCAGATGCCCTGCCTCGTGAGCAGGATACTGATAATCAATCAGGTTTCCTTTAGGAGTTCTGATTGGTTGCTGCTGTGCAGCAATATCTGGCTGCTTAAAGTTGACAGTGCCCAGAAGTTGTTTTTGGCAGTTTGTCTCTCTTTGGCTGCGCTCTGCTTTGGTGAACATGAGGGGCAGTTTGCCCAGGGCAGGCTAGGGCATCAGCTCAAAGACTGTGCCAAGAGGTTGGTACTGTTGAACAGCTGTGATTGGCTGATACTCCCACCTTGGCCAAACCACGGTTGGTTGTTTATAGCGAGGGGGGTGGGACTCAGAGATGGAGAAGCAGAATTCAAAAGCTTTGATTGGCTGTCTATCAGGAGGGGTGGGACTAGCAAATGGAGGCTGTCTTGAATGGAGGCTTTAAGAATAAAGGGTACCTTGATTGCCTGTCATTGGAAATTAGGGACCTGCAAAGCATAGTAGCCATAATTTACAACCAGTCATAGAGAAGGCGGGGCTTAGTTCCTAAGCTGGTGGCTGGTCAGGGCTGGGCAGAGAAAGGTTTCTATCAGTTTGTCACTGCTAGGAGTGCAGGTCTTATGGATCTGGCACTTAACCTCTGAACTCTGGGGTCTCTAAACAAGTTCATGGACTACAAATCTCAGTTAGGGCCCCTCTGTGACTGTAATGAAGCGAGACAAAGAAAAAACGGCCCTATCATCGTGTTTAAACACAGACAAAAACTAGACAAACAGAAAAGACCACATAGCCCTCCTTGTTCTGGGTACTGAGTGACAGCTGTCTTTTACCGACTGTTGCTCTAGTGCCGCCTCCCTCTCCTGCCTTGTGGGTAACAAGTTTCACAGTATCTGATCACAGTCAAACACATGTCCTGAAGTGTCCAATTCTGACCAATGCTCTATATCCTTAGTCTCTTCCAAATCACCGAACACAATCCCGGGGCCTGGAAAACGCCCCTCCTAACATCCCCTTACTGAGTGCTCCGCATTTCCCGCCATGTGCAGTATCACGGGGCACCAGTAAGCCTCACTGCTCCACCACAAGTCTCTAGCATGGCTGGTGCTGCAAGGCACTGGTGCCACCTCTCTGCAGACCCAGAAACTCCTCTCAACTCGACTTGCTCATTTGTTTCCCTAGATTGACCTCTAGATAGACGCCTCAAACACACCGAGTACAAAACCCAGTTTCTGTCCTGGCTGGTGTGGCTCAATGAATTGAACGCTTGCCTGTGGACTGCAGGGTTGCGGGTTGGTTCCCAGTTCCTGGCATGTACCCGGGTCGAAGGCCAGGTCTACAGTTGGGGCGTGCACAAGGCGACTGATTGATGTTTGTCTCACACATCAGTGTTTCTCTCCCTAAAAAGAAATCAGTATTTAAAAACCATGCTCAGTTCACGTCCCCCCACCCCACTGGATCTCACTGCCCACTTTCACCACAGTGGCCTTCATCTGACACCTGCCACAAAGCACAATCTTGTCTGTTACCTTTGCTGGAGAGCTTCTCTTCCCATCTTGCCCGGGGATCCTGTATCATATTCTTCAGGAGTCTCTGTATCAACTTCCAGCTTCCGTCTGTTTTTCCTGTGCTTTAGTGCAATGTCTGTCTTCCCAATTTACACACGAACACTGAACTCCAAAGATAAGGGGTGTGACCAAGGTCATATGACTGGGGACAGGCACAGGGAACACAGGTTGGAATCCCAACTCCAAACTCTTACCAACGAGGTCACTCTGCCCCCTCCATTCCATGTCGATACTTCCTCCTGTGCTTCTGGGGTCCCCAAACATTTGTCAAAGCACTACTTTCTGCGCCTGCTTTATTTAATGTGCTCTCCTTGTGAGAGCTCAAGGGCGGAGTCCCCATCTAGCCAGCCACATGCCCCATCTCCACAGTGCCACATGAAGGAAGGATAAGGTCACACCGCTCTTGCCCAAACAGAAGCAGGCCACACCCAGCCCCTCCAATGGAACACAACAGAAGTGAAGAACGAATGGTGAGAAACAGGAGATGAGGGAACCAACCCAAGCCCTTCATCCTCTGGAGGACAGGTCACAACTGCTTTGGGACAAACACTGGCCTACATGAATGCCCTGTGTTGCCATCATTAAAAATGTGCAAGTATGGCAACTCCTTGAGAAGTACACGCAACAAAATGTGGTAACGCTCCGCAGAATGGTTCCAGCTCACAGTGGTAATGTGCAACTGCACCCAAGCTGGGACAACGAGCTCTGAGGGTGGCTGAGTGAGGTTGCAATGATTTTCATATTAAAGAACAATTTAACATAAGGTAACAATGATCACCCCATGTAGTTAACATTTACTCCAAAATGCCCAACTGATGAGTACCAAACAATAACATATGTCCACAGGGGTAAAATGTGAAACCTACATGTTCCTGCATGTCTTCATTCCTTTGGTAAGTTCCAATCACTTTTTTTTAAAATAGCAATATTGAAACATTCTCAAAAGATTAAATTATGAGATTCCTAATCCATGTTTTTAAGTTTATCACGAATTTATTTAACATGAATGTGGTTTACTGTTTTTGTTTTTAGCCCTATTGCAACCCCTACAAAACTACTTACTGAGGTGAACTTACTTGGAAAAGAACTTCAAGAGAAAATTTTTAAAAAGTGAAAAAACCCAGCCAGAGGAAAGACTCAGGATTCACACGGAAATTGCACAGGTGCATGATGATGACATCATGTCTCAGAGAAAATAAAGAAAAACAAATGGAGCAGATGGGGACCAAGAAAAAGTGAGCATACTGGATAGTTAAAATGACACAAAAAGGCTTGCTTTGTTTCTCTTAACAGTATTTTAAAATTTTATTCATTTTAAAATTAGTTGATATACAGTATTATATCTGCTTCATGTATATTCAAAAAATTTTTAAATTAAAGCCCTCTCTCAACATTCTCATTTAACATAATACTAGAAGTCCTAGCCACAGCAATCAGTCAAGACAAAGAAATAAAATATATCCAAATTGGAAAGAAAAAAAACTAAAGCTGTCTTTAATTGCAGATCATATGATCTTACATGTTTAAAAGCCCAAAGACTCAAAAGCTGTTGAACTGATGATTTCAGTAAAGTTACAGGATATAAAGTCAATACACATAAATCAATTACATTACTATGCACTAACCATGAAACATTTGAAAAAGAAATAAAGAACACTATCCCATTCAAACAGCATCAAAACCAAAAAAATACCTAGTAATAGATTTAACTAAGGAAGTGAAAGACCTGTATACTGAAAAACTACAAGGTTTTGTTTAAAGAAATCAAACACAAAGTAATGGAAGGTCAACAACCCATGTTCATGGGTTGGAAGAAATTAGATTAAAATGTCCATGCCACCTAAAGCCATCTATAAATTGAACCCAATCCCTATCAAAATTC